CCCCAATACATCCTTATCATGTTACCTGTCCTGTCTGTGTGACCTGTTTGTCCAGTACCGACAGATTGTGAAAGGCTGTCAGATTGTTTGCCCAGTTCAGAGAGCATCTGGGCTGCACTGCCCCCTGCTGGTGACTTATTATACCACCTTTCAAAAGTCTTCAAACAGTAGTTGTAATATTAGAGAGAAAAAAAAAGCTAAAAATAACTAATAATATACCTATTTTTTTCTTCAATTGTAGTTATTCTGGCTTGAGTAGGTCAGAGATTTAAACTCCCTTAAGTAGATTTAATATTTCTTGTTACAGAAATAAGATTACACAACGTATAATCAAATCTGATTGGATGATCTTCATGTTCAGCACTTACAGGGAGCTCAMTCAGACGTCCAGTTGTAAAAGCTAWGGACCTCTGAAACRGATAATAATCACATTTAATGATCTGTTTAAAATCATTATTGCTAGATTTATATTGGAGCACCTGAAGGCGGCATGCTGTATTTTCTTATCTGGATTATTTGAAACACACGTAGGAAATAAGGCTTTTGTGTAATCTTGCTGAAAACTTTAAAACGGATAAACAAGGTGTTTATGCTTCTGCTTTGGAGATATTTACTTAAATGTTAGTAGATAAAAAATAAAATGAACAAACCGAGCCAAATAAACTCCAAAGCGGACTAAATGAATGAGCACACCTGTTAGTTAATCTGTTTTGTTTTTCACTGCATTTACTACATAAAGGTCCTCTTTTGGTTTATTTTAAATGTGAAAATATTGAAGCATCATCAGGCTGCATGAACAGAGCTCAGTGCTGACTGAAAAATGAATCCTTTGTCTTTTTCCATGTTGGACATTGAGTCTGAACTAACCTGCTTTAAATAGTTTGTGYTGAAGAGAGGAAGATGATCCTCATGAGTTTGATTCTGTTTTCATGTTGAAACCACAAACCGAACCTTAAATCTATAACTGAAGGCCTTTTTCCTAATGTCACAGAGATTATATCAATATTACAATATTGTGCATTATTTTATTATATTTGATTGTAGTTTGTTTTACAGTTTCACCTTCCTCCATCCTCTGTTTCCCAGTTTCCTCCTGTGTTTACACTGAATGTCAGGACGTGCAGTATTTCCCCGTTTCCCATCCGGTCCGTGCACGCTACATGTTTAGCGCTGTGAATTTACTCGAGATGGGCTCGACTCGCAGCAATAAGTGTTGGAACTGTGACGGTATGAAGGCCTCGTTCTAGTGTTGCCGCCTCAGAGCTGAATAAAGTGCAATATGAAGAAGTGAACATGTTGTCTGCTCAACTTTTTAATCTGTTCAGGGACTCAGTCTCATGACACAATAAACGCTCACGTTAAGCGTCACGAAGATTTTAGATTTGTGAGTAAATATTCAGAGTTTGAAGATGAAAAAAATAGCGTCACCCAGTAGAATAAATGTACTAGAAAAGATTTGTTTGACCAATTGTCAAAATAGTATTTTAACCCCCGTTCATACTTTAAAGTGTATCTTACCCCCCTGTGAAAAGATAACTCCGCCCCAAGGCGAAATTTGAAAAATGCATCAAAGTGGGGAGG